GAGTCCATCGTAACCTCCACCTGCTGTTCTTCGTCATGACATTAACTCATGTAAATAATCATCTCATTTGTTTGGTTTATTCACTCAGGTGACGGTGGGCCTTGTCAGTAGGCGGGGCCGTCGCGGCAGACCTCCGAAGCTCTCCTCCGTCACCATGGTAACAGCGGAGCAACAGGTGGAGAGGAGACGAGACCGACTGCAGGAGGTGAGCAGGAGGAAGTGGAGACTTTCACAGTAAAGTTTTTCTTTTGAGACACGATGTAATGACCGTAATGAAGACAGACAGATGTGTCGTTGTGTTTCCATGACAACCATGTGTTGACAGCTGGTGGAGCAGTGCGAGGATGAGGAGCTGATGGACATTGTTCTTCCTCGTTTGACCAAAGTTTTGAGTCTTTGGGAGCTGCTCCTGGCAAAGGTACGCACAGTGTATGAACATATACATAAATACATTCTGTATGTGTGGACGTCCGTAGCTGCGGCCTGACCGTGACTCAGTCCTCTGGTCAGGTGGGCTGCCTCTGCTACTCTACTATTTACTTCTCAGGTGTTTTCCGTCTCTGGTATTACTGAGAAAATAATCTGTCTTGTGTCCTCTGGCTGTTTCAGGTGGAGGGTGGCGGTCCGGCTCGGACTCGGTTTCCAGACATTTACTGTGAGTTTGAGTCCCTTCAGGCGCAGGTGAGACAGGCTGCTCAGGAATACATTGTCAGCCCGCAAAGTGGAGCCATGCCCCTGGAGGTCCGGAACATCGAGGTGAGAAGTTCTACTGTGTTCTACTCTGGAGGTCAGAGACAATCTGCTGTGGGTTGTATGCAGCAGTGTACAGGCTGACAGGCCTCTGTGATGTACTGTACTGTGTGTTTCAGGTTGCCAGGTCTCTGGGGATCCTGGATGAACTGAACAGGATGAAAGTGGTTCCTGGAGCATCTCCCAGCTCCAGTCTGACTAATAAGAACGTCCGATACATGGAGGTAAACACACTGACAGCACAGTGAGGTTAAAGAGCAGGAGTACCTTTAAACATCAGAGACCAGGGTCTTGTCTTAGAAAGCAGGTTTAACAAACTCTGACATGGAAAACTAGAACAGCTGGTCAGTCACTTATATAAACTCTGTTTCCCAGAATTCCAAGATGTTGCCGCCTTCAAAGAGATTCAAGATGGAAAACAGCGTTCCAGTTCACCAGAATGGCATCGAGACGCCCAGAGCAGGTGCTGCATCTGCATCTGTACTACACCTTACTACATGTGTCCTGTTTGATGTGTGTGTTGATAAACATTTTGAACTGATTTCTTGTCTCCCAGTTGGGACAGCTGTGACCTCCAATCTGAAGCCCTGCTCAGTTTCTGTCTCTCCTCTGATGATTCCAGCTGCAAGCAAACAGCTGACCACCACTGCTGACTCCACCTCCAGGTGAGCTGGCCCCGCCCCTGTCCTCTGAGTGTAGTACAAAAGAACAGGTGATATCAAGGGATGCGTAGTTAAAGCTGTTAGCTGTCAGTCAGACACTGAAATACGCTGATGCCACATTGACCGTGTCAGGAAGTGCACCAGGCTAAAGCCAATTTTTGTAGTAACCAACCAGTGAAAATACAACTCCCTGGTCTGTCATGTGATGCCACTGGGCGTGTGTAGTATAAGTATCACACCTGGACCAGGTGTACAGAGCTGATCTGATCTACTTAGGTCTGAATGTGTTTCTCTGGTCCCTCAGCTCCTCTGGCTCCACCTCTGCTAAGATGCCCTCCACTCAGGCTCCACCAGCTGTCACGCCCACGCCCATGGAGGTGAGCCCAGGTGAGGACCAGTCGATGGGGCCTTTAAAAACCGACGCCCAGGTGGAGCTTCCGAAGACGGTCGCCCAGTTGACACCTCTGAAAACCGACACCCAGGTGGAGCCACTGAAGTCTGACGCCCAGGTAGAGCTTCTGTCGGCCAGCCAGGACCAGGTCCTGAGCACCAGTGACATCACAGCCCAGATGAAGGTGCTGGAGAAAGTTCTGGATTCAAGCTCCAAAACCACCGTAGATTCAGAGACACCTGAGTCCAGCTCCACCCAGACCCCTGAGTTCATCTCCACCCAGACCCCTGAGTCCAACTCCGCCCAGACCCCTGAGTCCAGCTCCACCCAGACACCTGAGTCCAGTTCAGTCCAGACTCCGGCTTCCTCTTCGCTCCAGCAGAAAGAGTTAGGCTCAGCGGATCCCTGCGAGCCCAAAGAGCTCCAGGAGGGTCAGGAAATTTACATCCAGACCGAGGGGCTGACAGTCCAGCTGGCAGAGCCTGGTTTAGACCGGATTGTGATTGTGAATGGTCCAGACGGGACCACCATGCACATCCAGACCCCAGAGGGTGTCCCCCTGGAGGCAGTTCAGGCCCTGCTGGGCATCGAGGCTTCCGATGGAGCCAAAGCTCCTCAGTGAACCCTGAACAGAACCTTATCACATCACACTGACAGTGTACAGATTAGAACTGTGAGGGGGCTCTAACAGATCTTCAGACTGCTGGTTTGTGGTTTCAGGTGTGTCAGTTGAACTGTTCCGTTAATGTCACACCTGGATCGTTTCAGTTGGACTCGTTCTACCTTCAGACCAAACACAAGTTGAAGATCTTCCAAAAGACACCAGAAGTTTTTCTCCGAGATCGTCCAAACTCTGTTCAGCTGCCGTCTGTAGTCGACTTTCTCATTATCTAGTTCTCTTGATAAATTTTATTTTGTGGTGCTCATGTCTAAAATACAAAGACCGTTACATTGAGAGAAATATATCAAACACTATCTGATGAACAGGAAAGAACACATTCAACTCATCGACAGTGAACTGTCTGATTCCTACAGATAACCTGATCGATAAATCCTGACCTCAGGCCAACAGATTTAACATCTAAATATGAGCAACGTTATTTTATCAAGATGATGAGATAATTGGTTTGTGACTACGTAGTATTCTCTCTGGGCTCCTATACTCTCAGTTCAGCTCGGTCTTCGATTGGTTCGTTCAGTTCCCACCTGTGATGATGTCAGCAGTGGCTGTTTTTTAAGGAATCTGGAGAGATTGTAAATTTGTAAACTTGTTTTTTCTTTTTCAGTGTTTCCATATTTGAACTTGTTCATTTCAGAATAGAAAGTGATTAGTTTGCTGTTTATATGTAGATAAATATGAAAACAAAGTTTAAAAAAAAAGTTGCACTATTTTATTACTTTTTATAAACCTTCACAGCGAAAACATTTTCCAAACGTAAACTAAACGTTTGTACTCGTTTGGAGAATGGATATGAGGACGGACTGAAAACAGTTTGGAGGAAAATAAACTTTGCTCATTTGTCATGTTGGTCGTTCGAGTGCTGAATGAATTAAACGCATTTCATGTTCCTCCAATAAACTGATGTGAACTCTGAGCTCTGTTTCATGATTTCACAGACGACTCCTTGCGTCAGATTTCTAACAGTCTTCAGTTGTTTTGTTTTTTTGTTTGTTCCTGCAGATTAAAAAAAACTCTGAATGTGTCACACACAGAATATCTGTACAATTAACAGTTTCAAGGTGGACACCCAAGATTAGTGTCACCAATTCAGATTCTGACCAAATGTCTCTCTTTCTAAAGGCCTTTACTGAGTCCGTTTTTTCAAATGAGTTTTTCTAATCCGTCATCCGAAAAACCGATTCCAATGCGTTTTATTGTTCTACTATTGTGCGCCCCGTTCTTCTGTCTTGTCTCACACCGCCACATTTTCTTCACTGATTCTTGGTCAAACAACTCTAAAGGCTTTAATGGATGCAAAAAACACAGAAAATTGAACCTGTTCCTAATTTTAATAAGAGACTAAAGTTTTGGACTAATAATGTGAGATTGTTATTTATTTTTAGCCATGAGACAGTTTTCAATGAAAAAACAAACTAAGTGTGCAAAGGCCTTCATCGGTTCAATCTTGAATCCAAGTGGACGTTTGTGCCAAATTTGAAGAAATTTAATCAAGGGTTTTTTAGATATCACATTCACGAGAATGAGATGAATGCAAGGTCACAGTGACCCTGACCTTTGATCACCAAATTCTAATCAGTTCCATGCTGAGTCCATGTGAACGTTTTCTCTAAACAATTCAAGGCATTTTTGACATATTGCCCTTACAAGAATGAGACAGATGAGGTCACAGTGACTTTGACCTTTGAATTGATGTATGACCACCAACATATCAGTTAATTCATCATTGAATCCAAGTGGATGTTCGTGCCAAAGCTGAGGAAATTTCCCGAAGGCATTTCTGAGATAGCACATTTACAGGAATGGGACAGACATGCGTACAGTTAGATGGAAGGACAACCTGAAGACATACTCAGTACGTTTACATGCACAGTTTAATTCCACTTTTAATCGGAATGAAAGGCCATTCCGATTAAAAGTGGTCATGTAAACGGTCATTCCGATTGAAAAACGGTCATTCCGACTGAAACTTAAATCCGATTAAAGGGGGTGGTTTATTCCATTCGTCATTCCGAATGAAAGAATTTTGTGTGCATGTATACACTCATTCCTCTTTAAGTTCATTCCGGTCTTTCTGCGCATGCTCGTTTCCTTGCCCTTCTGGCGCGATGACGTATATAGCGCGCATAGCAACGGGCTGCATAGCAGCCACAGCACGGTCTTCTATCTCCCTTCTTTGACCTTCTACCTCCCTTCTCCTCCTCAACAGACGAAGCATTATCAGAACAAGGTTGTTGTCGTACTGCTGCTTCAAGAATATAAGCAAAACACGCCCGAAAAAGGCACTAAGAACGGCGTCGTCAAGCATCTTGTTATCCGGAGCGAGGACTACAGTGTTTTTTTCCGGTAAACGTAAACACATAACATCCGCCCTGCCCCCTATCCAATCAGAAACCTTCCCTGCCCCAAACCTTGCACAGACCTGAATAAAGGCGATTGAACTGATCTCCGTGTAAACCCTCATTCAGAATGAATATTTCCCATGTAAACTACCTGGAAAGACTTTAATTCCGAATGATTTCATTCAGATTTATTTCATTCCAAATGAGAAGCCATCATGTAACCGTAGCCAATGTCTCCAATCCGGCCTCGGCTGTCGCCAGAGAGGAGCTGCATTGTGGGACTTTATGAATTACGTACATGTTACCTCCCATTGCTTTTGCATTACTTTGCATTAGGCTTTGTATTCCATCACTACATGTTCTTTATTAATTTGCATTCGACATATCCTGGAAATACTTCTAGGTTGCTCTGCGTCCTCTTTGTAAGGATATTTTGAACTCTCACAGAGATATATTTGTATTTCCACTTCAGTGTATATTACAACAGTACTAGTGTTACTGTTTGTAACTGAAGACAAAGTCAGGCCTCAGAGACCTGAGCTGCTCAGGAACAGACCTGAAGAGCACTGACAGACGCTCTGCTCATATGTCCAACATCATCCATCATGTTACAGTCCATCAGCGGATCCTGAGTTCACCTGCAGCCTCAGGAAGTACAGCCAACTTCTGCTCGTGTTTCAGTCTGATGACATCAGAGGGGGCGGTGCCCAGTCTCCAGAAGCAGAGCCTCCAGGGTCAGTCTGGCCTGGGGGGGGATGAAGGGCTGGTGCAGCCAGCAGGACAGATAGACCATGCAGAGGTCAGAGGTCGCAGTGTGGGCGAGTTCCTGCAGGATTGTCTGCTTCAACTTCAGCTCCTGACTGAAGGAGTCCAACAGGACACGAGACGACTCGTCTGAAACAGGAAGACAAGAAAATCAGACACCAGAGCACTCGTCAGAAACGTGAAAACAGAAACAGACACGGGACAACTCGTCTGAAACATGAAGACAGAAACATCAGACACAAGATGACTCGTCTGAAACATGAAGACAGAAACATCAGACACAAGACGACTTGTCTGAAACATGAAGACAGAAACATCAGACACAAGATGACTCGTCTGAAACATGAAGACAGAAACATCAGACACAAGACAACTCGTCTGACACATGAAAGCAGAAACAGACACGAGACGACTCGTCTGAAACATGAAGACAGAAACAGACATGAGATGACTCGTCTAAAACATGAAGACAGAAACAGACATGAGACGACTCGTCTGAAACATGAAGACAGGAACATCAGACATGAGACGACTCGTCTGAAACATGAAGACAGAAACAGACATGAGATGACTCGTCTAAAACATGAAGACAGAAACAGACATGAGACGACTCGTCTGAAGCATGAAGACAGAAACATCTGACACCAGACGACTCGTCTGAAACGTGACATCTGCTGATGTCACCTGGTCATAGTGAGCCGGTGACTCTGCTGACATCACACAGGTGAACTGAAGTGAAGAGATGAACTCACTGAAGTCTTTGGTGTTCCAGCTGTGAAACAGAGGAAGTTTTCTTCCTTCAAGTCCGAACTGAAACTCCTCCAGATCCTGAACACCTTGCTGTGATGTCATCAGACGCTCCATCTTTGTCACCACGATGGCCTGACAGGAAGAACACAGACACTGATTAACATGGACGATAAAGAAGAAAAAAAAAAACAGGAAAAACTGATGTAATACGACCACTATCAAATGTCAGGTTTGTCTGTTCTGAGGAGGAGAAGAGGACCCACTCCCTATTTAGATATAAACAGCTAACAAAGACAAAGTGATTCTTATTTTCAGGTAATTATAAACATATTAAAACACTTTTATGAGTATTATAAATCATTTCTGTCTATAAATAAAGCATCACCATTTTGTCAATGATGTCCTGCAGCTTGCAGCATTCGTCCTGCAGCTCTGTAGCTCCTCCTGTCTGCTGCAACGAAGCTGATGAAGCTGATGAAGATGATGAAGCTGATGAGGACTCGTCCACCAGCAGCAGCTGATCGCTCTGAGAACTGAAGGAGAGAAAAGTGTTTAAACTACCTCCACTTTATAAATATAAACTAAACTAATATGACTTATTAAACCTACTTAAACTCACTGTGTCAGTCTGATGTCGACGATGTTTCCTGCCACCTTGAATCCTTCGTCGTTGAGTTTTTCCCACCTCAGCATCAGGTTGTGCCAGTCAGCTGCGTTGTCTTTGATTTTCCGGGCACTTCCTGTGACAGCAGAGCACTTCCTGTTTGCTGGGGTCACTGGTATGTCACCTGACTGGCCTGGAAGGCAGGACGGGAGACACACAGACATGAACATCATGTTTTCTCGTCATGACAAATGATTTGAAAGTTTAAACTCAGTCTGATGTTGGAGAAGTTAGAGGACAGATCAGTGTTTGAGTTTAATTAATCTGTGAAACAAATAAATCAGCATTTAGAGTGTTTATGAAATGACATGAATCTTTCCAGAATTTATGACTAAATTCAAATCTTATTTCAGGCATCTAACCAAAAACCCACTGACTCTGAGACGAGGGAACCGGGAGTGTCAAAATGCTAACTCATTTCTTTTTAGGACTCCATCATGGCACATGCTACATTACAAAATCTGTAGTGACCAACTCTTGCAAAAATGTTGGTCTTGACTTTCCGGACTTCTCCACCTTGAATAATGTATTTAAGATGAACTGGTTACAGCAGCAACTGTGTGATGTCATCATGTCAATATGGACCAAAATCTCTGAGGAATGTTTCCAGCACCTTGTTGAATCTGTGACACCAAGAATTAAAGAGGGGTCCAACCCGGTACTAGCAAGGTGTACCTAATAAAGTGGCCAGTGAGTGTATGAAGTTTTCCTCCTCTGAGCAGTATGGTTTTCTTGTCTTCTTCTCTTCTGCCATTTTTTCCTCTATCTAACTATGAGACAACTTTGTGAGATGATAACAAGCAAACAAACAGTGCAACCGTGTAAGTACCTCAGCTAAGGGGAAATTAAGCCTTAAGTGTCATACTTAAGGAATAAGGTGTTTTGTGCAACTGGTCCCATGTCACACATGAATATATGACAGTTTTAATGGCACTATATTATTTAGAGTGTCTTTGGTTTCACAAATCATTCGTCTTATCACCGAGGAGTCTGGAGCATCTCCTCCAGTTTCTGCATCCCTTTATGTGATTTATATATCTTCTGACGTCACTAGAACTTCATCTGACCCAGAGGACGAAACCAATCATATTGATCATGTATATGACATGAAATAAGTCAATCAGATCTCAATACAATATTAATTTATAATCCTACAGAGCTGTGAAGATGAAGAAGATGTGCAGATAGACAACAGAGAGAAGAGCCTGTTGAAGTCTGTTGATGCTGCTTATTATGGGCTGTCGTTTCAGGTCCAGGACGAGTGTGTGTGTGTGTGTGTGTGTGTGTGTGTGTGTTGTGTTCATATCATATACATCAGCTGATCAGCTGACTGACACGGAGCCTCGTGCAGCTTTCATCTTCAGCTACAGATATAAACCTACAGGTGTATTGATCCGTTACAGAGCTGTGGATCGATGATGTGATCAGTCTGCAGATATTCACTCACCTTCCATCTGATCAACAAATCCTCGCGTGGAGCATCAAGTTCACACTTTCTTCTTCTTCCTGCTGCTCTTCTTCTTCTGTGGTGGCTCTCCTCCTCACCTCAGAAGCGAGTCAGCGCCCCCTGCTGACCGGTCACCTCCTCTTCCTCATGATTTAGGGACTGTTCTTTACTCTCACTGTACTTACTGTGCTTCCTCTCCTGCTCTGAGGACATTTATCACAAGTTGGTGACACGTTTAGATATATGTTGTGTATTTTGCCTTGGAGTAGTGGAGGCTGTGTAGTGTTTTAAATTGTATTAGTGTCTGGTTTTGTTTGAGCATTTGTGTATTTGTTCGAGACTTTCTTCCCAAATGTCATCTGGTATTTGATTTGTCTTTTTCCCAACTGGCTTTGTAACTTTCAGAAGATGGAGAGACTAGTGATAGCAGGGTGTCATATAGGTAGGAGATGGAGCTATCTCAGTTTGGTGACGTTTTGAGACAGCTGTCTGTTGATTGTCTCCAAATTTAAAATCCTATTAGGTGTTTTCAATCTCTGATCTGTAAGTGCCTGAAAAAATGTGTTTGGAGGATTGAATTTATTTTGCAGCTGTGCAAAGGTGCTGCTCCTGCTGCTTCTTCACATTTTCCCCAGACATTTGTCCATGTCTCTGTGCTCCTTCTGGTTCTCTCTGTACTCTGACTTTTCCTTCAGGAGCTCCTGGTTTTTGCTGAGGCATTCTGACTTTGCTAATCAGGCTGAGTCCACCTCAGATGTTTACTTAAGCAGCACCTGTGAGTTCTGCACATGGCACACCTGACACGTGTCAAGTGGACCGCACCATTTCACAATACCTGCGGGGGGGTTGAGTATCAGATGGCATGCTGAAATGTGTTCTCATTATAAAATTACATTTACTTATCATGTAACTACAAATAACCTGTATCATCAGTGATGTAAGTCAGTTTGTTGTACTTGATCCGATTTAAGGGTCAACCATAGACCTTTCTATGGGCCCTCCTTTGACCTATGGCTGGGGTCATCTGTCCCCTTTGACCCCCTCTGACAGCGGGCCTCCTCTTACCTCAGAAACAACTTGAGCTCAGTGCTTCAACAAGAACTCTTAACCCTTTCATACACAGTGGTCACTGCAGTCGGCAGCTATTTAAAAGCCATTTCCTTGTGTATCCATGGGGTTTTGATGCTACAGTTGCATTTAATTCACTATAGTGGACCCTAGTGCGTCATGCCACACACTGCCACCCACTGGCCAGGTGTTGTCAGTGCAGCACAAAGCTCTCAAAACCAAGATGGCCGACGTACTGCAAGAGATGTTGTGCAGCTCGCCGATCCTTCTATAATAGGAGACCCAGGTGGGTAAAAAAACAACAACTAAGGAGCAATACTGTTGCTAAATTTTCAAAGTATTAATTTTATGTTGTGAGGAAATTACAATTAATCATCTGTCCACAAACTGGACATCATGCATCGCTGGCTATATTTCAGCTACAGTTAATACCATTACTGCAACTTTGTTCTTCTTGAAAATACTTAATTTGCAGTGACTTTCTTGGCTGTAAATCAGTTGATTAGGTTATTAGAATGTAATGTACAGTTTTTGTAACAGAAACTTTATTTTGACAGTGGGGAGAAAAAATGAACTTCAGGCATTTGAATTGAGATAAAAAAGCCTTTATTTCAAAACATGGCTGCTTACATTAAAACACTGACCGTTTTCAACCCAAAGGTCAAGGTCAAGCAAACATTTTATAAGCTCGGTAGGAGGTGTCACCCAATCTTGATTAATAAGTGAGCAGAGGTGAGTGAGAAGCCATTTTGAAAGTGGCACGCCTTTACAGGTGTTTAAAAACATCCTGTACTATAATGAATAGGCCCAGGAGGGAGAAATAGAAAAAGAGGGGAGTCAGGAGCAAAGTTCAGCGCCTTTGCATGGTACAGTACATGAACATATTAAAATATAGGGACACACTAGTTTAACAACATTAAAAAAAATTTTTTTTATAGTTTCACATGATATATATCATTTTTTAAATTGGTTAATATTTCTTCAGTTCAAAAGTTAAATGTCCACCTGAGTGAACATGTGGAAAAAACAGTAATTTGTAGTAATTTATTTTTTCATGCCTAAAGAGAAATAAAACACTCATGAAAAAAAACTTGACTGAGGTCTTAATAATAATACTAATAATAATATAATAATAATAAACTTTATCTATAAAATACAGTGACAAAGTGCTGTACAATAAAACTAACACAATTAAAACACAAGGAGAATAAAACAAATAAAATAAATAAAATGTCATCCAGTAAAAGATCAAATAAGGAAGGCCAAAACTAAAATCAAGATAATAAACAGGAAATAACACACTAAACAGACAGCACACTTACGTTTTTAGGAGAGACTTAAACGAAGCCAGTGACTCAGACAGCCTGATGTCCTCGGGCAGGTCGTTCCAGAGCCTCGGGGCCCTGGTGGCAAAAGCTGTGTCCCCTTTGGTCCTCAGTCTGGACTCTGGGACAAGCAGAAGACCTCTGCCCAAGGATCTCAGACTACGCAGAGGTTCATAAGGGACTAACAGGTCTGAAATGTAATCTGGAGCCATGAAGAGCCTTAAAAATTATTAATAAGATTTTAAAGTTGATCCTTAAACAAACAGGGAGCCAGTGTAAAGAGGCTAAAACTGGAGTGATGCATGAAAGGGTTAATTTGGTGGTATGTTGAGCTCAGTGCTTTGACAGTGTTGTGTTCTGTAATACCTCCGCTGTTGTATCAGTGACAGATGATTGCTGCCTGTTTATTCCCTGACAGGCTGAGGGTCATTCATTAAACTGCCATTGTGTAATTTACTGACAGTGACGTCAGAACACAGATGGAGACGATTTATTGTGAAGAGTTCTCACTCTGTTTCATATTTCAGTCACAGTTTATTTGACGTCATCGTGCGTGTGTCATGTTCTCATGCGGTTTATGTTTGTGTTTTATGTTAACACACACAGACACAGAGTGATAAAGTGTGTTTGTGCTGCAGCATCTTGAACATGAATCCTGAGCTCAGCAGAAACAGACAGAGTGAGACCTCTCACTGTCACACACACACTCTCTGCTCACTGACGCAGCAGGAAGCAGCAGCAGAAGAAGAGACGAGGAGAGAGTCACAGTTCCTCTGGTCCACGATCACACGGCAGCAGTAATCTATAACCTGTAATCAGTAATCTGTTAGTGTGTTGTTGGTGTGATGATGTCACCGCTGCAGGTGTTCAGACATCAGTGATAATCAATAACTGATAGAGTCATACTTCTGTATCTGTGACAGGTTGTCGATGATGTCGGTGCTGCAGCTTCCTGCCGAGCTGTGGCTGCAGGTGTTCAGCTTCCTGTCCTGGAGAGACAAACTGAGCGTGCGCTGCACCTGCTCACACTTCAAACACCTGCTGGATAAGTCCCGCCCCCTGTGGCGAGGCTTCACCGTGGTACTGCGACAGTTCTCCAGATACAACCGGCCGTTCTGGCGCAGCCTGGCTCAGAGGCATGTGGACAGCGTATCTGTGCGTTCAGGTAAGAGGAAACACCTGAAGCAACTTGCCACCTGGCTTCCTGCTCTCGAGGCGTTGCGGTTGGACGACTGGCAGGAAGGCTGCGTCGATGACCTGAAACTGTTCCACCGGCTGCAGCTGCTGTCCGTCACTTCCTGTTCCATGCCGTTGAAGAGCGTCGACTTCCTGCTTCCTCTCAGTCATCACCTGTTGCAGCTCAGACTGTGTAATGTGCAGCTCACCTGTAACGCCTCTCACCTGTTGACCTCCATCAGTCAGCTGACTCGTCTCACCTTGCTGCAGCTTCACCATGACGGCAGTCTGAGAGTCCCAAAGCCCAGCGGCGTCCTGACTCACCTGACCGAGCTCAAACACCTGTCCTGGACCATGATCACATACAAGACGCTGTCACATGACTTCTTCAGCCCCGCCCACCTCACAGGTAAAACACACACACACACAAACACACACAGACACACACAACATAAACACACGCACAGGTAAACACAAACACAAGCACACAAACAAACAAACATACGCACAGGTAAACAAACACAGACATAAACACACACACACACACACACAAGTAAACACACACAGACATACACACAGGTAAACGCAAACACACAGGGAAACACACACACAGAGGTAAACAGACACAAACACGGGCACACAAACTTACACATAGGTAAGCAAACACACACATAGGTAAACACACAAACACATGCAGGTAAACAGACACACAAACACAGGCACACAGGTAGATACACACAGGTGACCACATACACACACACACACACACACACACACACACACACAGGTAAATGCACACACAAACGAACATACATTCAGGTAAACACACACATAGGTAAGTACACACACACACACACACACAAGTAAACACACCTGTAGGATCACAGGGTGCAGTTCGTAAATCCGATCTGATGCTCGACACTAAAATCAGAGCGTTCTATTTCTTTCTATTTCATTAAGTTTGACTTTTACGTTGCCTGGCATTCTGCTGCTCTGCCTATGGTGGCCCTGAAGGCCAAAACAGAAATCACAGTGACATTTGGTGAGACTGAAGCCAGGACAGGTGGGAACGTAATGGACAGTGATTCCTGGTTGTTGACTGGATGCTGTCTGCATCATGCCGCAGATGGCGTGATGGAGGATCGCCTGTACGTCAGTACTGAGATATCTCTGTGTAAAAGGAGCTCAGGTTGTTGAAGGTGTGTGAACACTGAGAGGAGACAAAGCCAGGTGCGTTCACTTCCAGAGACCCTTTTAGGGCCGACGTCTCAGTGACGTTGTTTTATTACCTGGAGGTGCAGCTGCCTCTCCCCCACAGGGCTGTAGGCTACATAGGATTCTTAAAATGTGTTTGTCTTGCTGTGTTATTTGGAGCCAGATTAGAAGGAGTCATGGCTCAAAACCAGCCGCCACTGCCCGTCAACAAAAACAAAGATGGTTAAATGTGATAAGACCAAAGGACTGGACGGAGGCCATCATCAAAAATGCTCACATGTGCAGCGCACACTTCATATCAGGTTAGGGAAAAAGTATTTCCTGTTGTAGGGATGAATAACATTATGTGTATTAAGGGTTATCATGTCCACCTCATCAGAAACTGGGGAGGGATTAAGAGGAATATTGGATTTCTTCATAACGCTAACTTTTTAGCACATGGCACATGACCTGACATGGTGCGTTGGTAAATTCAGTCTGACGCTCTACACTAAAATGAGAGCCCTGTTGGTGGAAGAAACGGAGCGTTATATTTCTACATGAATTAACCAACGGTTAAGAACAGTTGTGTCAGAGTGCGCTCCGACACTCAGAATGAGTATTTCTGAACGCACTACTTGCATCATCTTCCTCCACTGTCGAAAACAAGCCAACAGAACTTGCTACCTAATGACTGTGGAGAACTGTTTTGCCTCCAGCTAAGCCCCGCCCACCAAAACACAGTTAATGGTCTGTAATATGTAACATATGAGATATCAAATGTCGACGGGTATGTTGTTTCTGTCTTTCATCAGGTGGTGGCGCTCTGCAGCTGTCTGACCTCCAACTGTTAAACTATGACGCAGTGGTGACGCAGGAAGTTCTGCAGCCTTTGTCCCGCCTCCGCAGCCTGTCAATCTTCCACCTGTATTCCGTACCGGGACCCACCTGTCACCTGCAAACATGGCTGACGTCACTGCCACAGCTCCGCAGCCTCAGCGTGCACGGTGAGTCCCAATTTTACTTCCTGTCAGACTGTCACTGAGGATTTGATTAAAGAAGACGAACGATAGAATGTGGAGGGAAAACAACACATCTGTCTCATCAACTTTATTTTTCTCTCACTTCAGCTGCTTTCACCTGCAACATGTCAGCTTTCTGCTTAAATCTCTTCAACAAAGTGATGTCATGATGACCTCACTCTGTCTGTCCAATAGGAGGCCATCCTCTAGCGGCGTATGCTGACTTCCTGCCATCCTCCCTCCTCAGTCTGACTCTCTGTGTGGATCTGCAGCCTGAAGACCTGCAGGTGGTCTCACAGAGAGCGCCTCACCTGGAACACCTGCACCTGGAGCCCTGGAGCTCCTCCGCCAGTGTGATCAGACTCCTCCCACAGCTGTTCCCTCAACTGAGGACGCTCCGAATCAGGTGAGTCACTGACACATCATGACGTCTGACCTGAAAAACGTTTTCAGAGAATGTGTCCAACTGTGACGACTGGACAGCTCTGTCTTTGAGAAATTACCTCTGAAATCTGAATCCTGTTGGAAGCAGCTTAAAACGAAGAGACCCCCAATAACCAATAATCAAGGGCTGCTAAGAAGTCCCTTCTTCATGCTGCCTTTGAATTTTTACATAAAACCAAACAATGCCGGCATCATGCAGCTCCAGTGTGTGATTTTAGACAACATGCCGGCATTGCGGAACCAAAAAAGGGCGTGTTGGGTGTGATATGTAACGCAACAACAATCATTTACCGTGTCTGTTATCTGGCGGCAGATCTCGTCCTCTGCTCTGAGGGTGAAAACTCCCAGACCTCTTTGTTTTCCCAATTTGAGTACATTTGTGGCCGCTGTTTTTCTCTGACTTAGGTGCTAACTGCTATCAGCTACTTTTTAAATCTCCCATGGTGGGTTGTACATATAACATGTCACCAAAGCGTCACACCTGTGCCACCCATGAGCCCAAGGAGCAGAGAACATAAAGCTTTCTTTCCAAGCTCAGTCCGAGTACGAGGAACAAACAACAAAACCAAGTCTTGAGATCTCATACTGTAGCTACAGTCAGATCTCTGTTTAAAGTACAAATATACGAAGGGAGTTCACCCAGCACAGCTTGTTAAATGAACAAATGCCAGTGACTCAGCCTGCGAAATGTCAGAAATAGCTGACCAGCCCTGGAATAAACTGTATAGATATCAGTTAGGGCTTTACGATTTGTATCACATCTCAGTGCACTTTGATATGCAGTATCTAACATGCAATAATGTGCAGATGCATTCATGTACAACAAACCACCATAATCCAACACTAATAAAAAACAGTAAGCAGTAGCAGCAATCAGTGTTTTTCTGGCCTCAAGGAGACACAGGACTTGTTTCTGAAATAAAATTGGTAGTGATCAGGAAGTGTTCAGACTAACTGAAGTTCAGTCCAAATTGGCGGGAAGTTGATTTTTTTGAGAAACTGAGTTAAAATGTTAAATTTGATTGAAATGAAAGTGTGTTGTCGAGCTTTGATCAGGCCCGACCTGAGCCTGAACCAAAGCAGCCCAATTAAAAACCTTAATTTTCATTGTAGAAAACAAAAAAAAAGGAAAGAAAAAAACATTTATTACAAGCTCTTCCTTCTGTTATATCAAGAGTATGTCATCGGTTCTGCGTCTCATCGCCAACAGGTTCAGCAAAGTGGGCTGCACCTCTTGGTGCGTCTCTGTCTTCAGGGGTGCACATTAATAATCCTGCAGGACTGTAACATGCTCACGTTTAACCCAAACAATGTGTCATGTGACTGCAGTTGGTTCAGATCCAGGTGGGAACACATTCTCACCACAAACCAACCGCACCAGAGTTCCTTTGTAACCGGACTCAAGAAGGTCTTGGTCCAGTTGTTTTGGTGTACACCTGTGTGTGATTGCTGTGTACACACCTGCCCAAACGAACCGCACTGAGGGGGCAAATGAACTTGATTGATTGATTGAACCGAACCAAACAGGGCAGGAGTGAAAATACTAAATGACAAAAACTGACCGAAAACAAAAAGGCTGCTCGCATCCATGTTTTGGTTTCCATAGAAACCTGCTGTTTGTTGAGTTTCCTGTTTTAATGTTTCAGACATCATCACCTGTCAGACAGTGACTTCCTGCGTCTGCAGCAGCTTCAACATCTCAACACTCTGGAGATTTTGGATTCGTACTACAGACCTGACCCGTCCGACCCGAGTTGGGTCGTCTACGAGCCGAGCTCCCGTCTGCTGCAGCTGATCTCTGACCTTCAGAAACTGACCAACCACCGAGTCCAAGTCATCACCAGCTCACACAGAGACACGCTCTCCTGCCACTGTGTCTGACCAATCAGAAACTGTTTGCCCTGCTGTGAGGGCGGGGTCAGTTCTCAGGAGAGCACTGAAACACAGATCCAAAGATTTTATCAAACATGTTATCAAATGTTTGTCAGTGTGAAGTTTATAAATATTTAAATTATATTATTGAACTAAATGTGCCAGCTGCATCACTGCTGCATTATGGGTAAAGTTTCTCAGTATTAGCATATGAATGTTTGCAGGTGAAGGGACTTCTGTAATTTACAGGGACTGTTCATTACTTACGAGAGGGGAGAGGTGGTGCAAAAAGGAGGAGGCATATCAAATCATTTTTTAAGCACTTGTTTTTTATTTTGGCTTAGGGGAGGGGCACACGAATTTAAATGTTTTATTTTGTCTTTATTTTACTGCAGATTTTTAAAGAAAAAGTGCCTTTGAAGGCTTTAAAAATCACTAAATTACACAATTTATCAGTCAGAAACTGTATAAACAGAAGTTATCCTTGGATTTTCAAATTTTAGATGGTCCTTGAATGTATTTTATGGGATGAGCGCTTACGTCTGAAAAAAAAGCATAACCACATTTGAGCTTAAAATAGTGATATTTAATCAAAATCACTTTATTTTACATCTGATTTAAAATTTGTCTGAAAACCGAGACTTTTTTCAACTCCAGTATTTCGTCTTTTTACTTTTCAATTCTTCAGGAAGGGTGAAAATAAATAGTGATGTTTAGTCAAATTCACTTATTCTTAATGTCTTAATTAAAATTAGGCCAAAAATAAACTGTTTGTACAAATAAACCAGCATACACAACAAGTGAACAAGACAAGACAAGACAAGTGAAAAACTAGGCTTTTTTCGACTTCAGGATTTTGTCTTCAAGATTTAACTTTCAAACACTGAAACGTAATTTTTAAAAATCTAATAACTAATTCATGGTGGAGAGAGGGTTGTGCATTTTCTGCCAGTCACTCAGGGAGGCTCAAGGAAAAATATTTGTAGCTTTAGGCCAAGCAAAGCACTCCAGACGTCCCTCTCTCCAGCACACTTTCCAGCTCCTCCTGAGGGAGGTTCCCAGGCCAGATGAGATATGTAATCCCTCCAGTGTGTTCTGGGTCTTCCCCGGGGCCTCCTACCAGTGGGACGTGCCCGAACAGCCCTAACAGGAGGCGCCCAGGAGGATCATAATCAGATGCCCGAACCACCTCAACTGACCCCTTTCGAAGTGAAGGAGCAGCAGCTCTACTCCTAGCTCCCTCCAGATGTCCAAGCTCCTCACCCTATCTCTAAGGCTGAGCCCAGACACCCCACGGTCACTAACCAGAGCTCACGACCATAGGTGAGGGTTGGGACGTGGATGGACCAGTAAATAGAAAGTTTTGCCTTCTGGCTCAGCTCCCTCTTCACCATGACGGTACAGCGCAGTGCCCACATCACTGCAGATGCTGCCAAATCACTGATCCATCTCACACTCCATTCTACCCTCACTCATGAATCGGACTCCGAGATACTTACTCCTTTGCTTGGGGCAGTAACTCCGTCCCCAGCCACCCCCCTCCTCTGATAAATAAAGAACAATCCCTTATTAGTCTTAGTCTGCCAAATCCAAAGAAATAAAGCACACTGGACACTGGTTTATTGTTAACCCAGTACAAGTCCACCCGTTCGCCTCTCAGTGGCTTGTTGAGACATTTTGTTTTGTTAAAGAGTCACTACATAAAATGACATCACTTCATAATTTTATCCTTTTCAACATTTGCATGAGTTATGGTCAAAAATCTGTTTTGTGACACCACAGTGGCCTCCGCTGAGTGCAAGTGGATGTTTGTGCCAAATTTGAAGAAATTCCTTGAAGGCGTTCTTAAAATACCAAGTTCACAAGAATGAGATGCACGTATGTATAGACCAGCAACCCAAAAACATGCCTCTGGCCTAGGTGGTTGCCGGTGCAGTCATTACAAGGATTTATTGATGTCTTTTTAGTGGATCATAACACATCAGCTATTATTAATCTGCAGACGCTACAGTTCAAAATGAGAGCAAACTTCTCTATGAATGTCAGCTTTTGAGTCATGATGAAGGCCAACGTGTGTCTGCAACAGATGTTAAGACTTCTTGTTTTAGCCGAGCTGAATTCTGGACAGCTGACGGCCCCTAGCAGCCAGTTAAGAGGAGTGAGGGGTCAGCAGTCAGTAGCCCTTCCATCACAGAACCAAACAACAGCAGCATCATGCTGCTCCAGTGTGTGATTCTCGGCAGCAACACAACATCACCCTCTAGTGTGACATATTACATACGTATCAGCAGCACTTTACAATCACGTCAGTAACAATCATGAACTGTCTCTGTTATATGGCAGCTGATTTTGTCCTCTGCTCAGAGGCTAAGGAGCTCCTGGACCTCATTGTTTTCCCAATTTAAAACATTTTCAGCCATCGTTCTTCTTCAAGTTAGCTGCTAACTGCTATTTTTTAAGTCCCCTGTGGTGGGTCCCGAACATTACACGTCATCAAAACATCACACCCATGACCCTGTGCTGCCGACTGTCCCGTTTATACAGACATCGTGTCGGCACTGTTGCTACCTCCGATACCAGCTTAAAGGCGAGACAACTTTGTCACCCCATTTCACATAGTACATTTTATACTGAACAACGCAGCAGCATAATGGTGTGAAGTAATAAGGTTATACAGCAAAGGTTTTTGTCAATCACCAATACCACAAGGTCCATGAACATGCACTTGTTAACGTTTTTATTAGTGTTTTGCTGTGAGGTTATTTAATCAGCACTGTTCTGTCAGTGTTTATGCTGATGACACCATAACTACTAATCGACTGAGCCTTCAGGTTATGCAGGATTTATACCTCAGTGTCAAATCGACGCCGTACCTACGGCATAGGCTTTGCTTTGACTTAGAGCCTACACCATAGCCTGACGTGCACCTCCCCAGAAATGTATCTACAGGTTGCAATGACACAGACCTCCTGTCTGTTTCTGTAAGCTGAAACCATTTCCCTCAGTGGAAACAAAGCTTTTATTTACTTTAATTTCACAGATAAACAATAAATTGTGAAGACAATAAAGCCTCCACAAAAATTTTAAGTCGTGTGTGATTTATCCTGGCTTTCACAAGAGTGAAAAAACTAGGGTTTTTCATATGAGCAGAGGAAATCTCTGCTCGTCACAAGGCTAATTTATACAATGTAAAATGCCATAGGCTTGTGCTAATAACGTTAGCACATTGTATTTGTGGGGAAAATGTGTCCAGATAAAGACAAGTGTTTGTCTGTGAATGCTGCAAGTTACAGTGAAGCTGATTTGTGTACTGTTTGAAACTGTCTCTATTAAGCCATGTTTAAAATAAACTAAACTTGACAGCACCAACTAGCATTTTGGAGGTGTAACTGCAGAGTAGTCTGAGTGGGCGACGTTTGCTGCATAGATCAGCCTCTCATTGGGCAGAACGAGCCATCCGCTCAAGTCCCGCCCTACCACCTCCGGTTGTCATAGTCAACAAATGTCCTTTACTAACTTTTGCGGTAGTTGATCTTGCGGGGATGTAGCCATTTTTCTGCCATGGTTCGCGTCCTGTAGGCGATATTTTTGTGGGCGTCTTAGACCAAAACCTGTTTCCCCCCGGCAATATTTTTGCAAGCGCACCGTTGCTATGGCACCGCCAAGAACGATTGTGATTGGTTGAAAGAAATAAAAAAGCCAGGCATTTTTTCTTCCAATCTTAAAGTGAGAGTCGGTGTAGCCAGACCTCTCTTTTCTTGAGAAAGGTCTGGTGAGCGAGACTAACTGCAGAGTGACACAGACACACCACCGCACTGCTCAAGTCCCCAAAGACACCCCTGCTCTAAATGATTCAGATTCAAAGATACTTTGACACTCTGGATTATTTAACTGGACCTATACCTCACAGAATGATTCTGAAGACGCTACAAATACAGAAAACAAAGACTTTTATTTTGGAAATTACAAACAGACTTCTGTTCAGGTATTTACAGCTGAAAAAAACAAAAAAAAACAAAATTTATATAAAAAACAAAATCGTCCTCTTTTCTTTCTGCATTCATGCAGTCCATTATTGTAAAACTCCCAGAATGCTTTGCATTCAGACAGGTGAGAGAATGGGCGGAGTCTCAGTGTCTGTTCACCTGCTGATCCACAGTCATCACTCTGACGCATCGCCGTCTTTCTGTTTCTTTTTCTTCTTCTTCTTTTTGGCACTTTCAACAACCTTAAGACAGAAGTGGAATATTTAATTTATACATTTCAGCTTATATTTAAATTCAATTATTAAATTTAACATTTATCTCTGTTTATTGTATTTTACAGACTGGAAACTGATCCATTAAGAGCTTAAACCAAAATCTAAAAGTCTGAATTCCAAGTTCAAACTGATTTTTTTCTATCGTCATTTCAAAAATCAAACTCACCTCTGTGTCAGGCTCCGCCGCTGCTTCGTCAGCCCCCGCTTCTTCCTCCTCCAGCTTTATCCTCTTCTCTTTCTTTTTCTTCTTCTTCTCTTTCTTCACGTCCTCTGCAGAGGGCGTGCTGGGTGCCGCCGCGACTTCACCGTCACTTTCTGTCGCCTCCCTCTTCCTCTGTAGAACACAAAAGGTCAAAGATTCATCAGAGAAGGACATCAGGTGGGTCTGCTCTGATTGGACCAGAGATGGCCACTGTCACAACAACACAAGGATCAGGGTCATGTGACATCAATACAGACGTCACAGGTGATTGAGATATTGAGTGACTTTTACAGACCGGTAAGTTTGTGATGAACAGATTCTGATCATTAAATATTGATCTTAAGTCAAATTAATGCCATAAGAGCCCAGTATTAAAATAACACATATTTACACTACTGTACATACACCTGCTCCGCTGTGTGTACACCACACACACACCTGTGTACATAGAACATAGTGTATATATCCACTGAGCTTACCTTTGCTGGAGTTTCAGATGGCTCCTCTGTTACCTGGGAGATGCTGTCAATCAAAACAAAAACAGGTTGTAATAAACAAGGTTCATTTTTTTATCTCAACATTTAAACTGAACCTGCACAGCATTGTGACGTCACCACTGTCAGTGTGACATCACAGCTGTCAGGTCAGTCTGATGACATCAGTGTTCTCAGGTGAGCTGCAGCTCAGCAAGCAGCAGACTAATGGAGCTCACAGCTGAGAGTTTCTCTAGCAGACTGACTCCCTCAGAGAGCACGTCAGCTCAGAAAGGGATAACTGTCTGCACGTTACCTGAAGTCACCACTGACACCTTTGTATCTGCCCCGCCCCCCTCAGGTAAGACTTACCTGTAGTCGACGTATTCGGTTTTCCACTCGTTGGGCGTGCTGCCGTTTGGTTTCCCGTGTTTGTCGAGGAGTCCTTTCTGAATCATCATCTTCTTCTGACTCGCCTGATAAAACAAAAATTAAATATTTAAATAACCTTTATTATCTAAGACAGTTGACAGTCGATGGGAGGAAATCTGACGACGTACCTTCGGTCCCAGACCCCACTTCCGAGGATATGTGTCTCTCTCCATGATCACCCTCTTGATCTTCGCCACGACGCCGTGATCACACGTGGATATCACAGCTGTGGTCATCAGAGCGACAGCTGGAGGAGAACAGCCTCGTTAATACTCATTTCCATCTGTGACTCATTGATGATGTCATTAACGTGTGAAGCCATCAGTCAAGGGTGATAGATAGCAGGTCATCACGGCCCGAAGGCTGCGGCATCTACTTAACTCATCATGTGGCTCCACCTCAAACACCTGTACGCACACAGACACACACAACACCTATCTCACCTGTACAGATGGCCTCGCCCTTTGTCGTTATAACGACGATATCCTGGTTCATCTCGATGCCGTCTTCATACCTGAGGACACCTGGCAGCATGATCTTTGCACCGTAACAGATGGCGTTCACCTAAAGAGAGGACGATAATGCGTTTTGTTTATAAAGTCCAGACTGGTGATGTCAGTTCGGTTCATTTACAAAAAAAGAAAAGACGTGAAATACAAGAGGCCTGTCTTTAGTGCAGCGCCGCTTTGACTCACTGAGCTTTAGCACCGTTTCAAAGCGGTGCAGAAATTCTTATGTTTCATGTATCAGATTAACCCTTCTAAGAGAGCCCAAAAAAGTGATGTCGCTCCATGCTTCAGACGCCTTTATCAAGTTTTACATGAGGATATATCATTATGGTATATTGTATAATGATGAAGACTCACAGCGCTGTCCTTCATCACCAGCCGTTTGTGAGACACCAGCAGTTTCTCCAGAGGGAAGATGACTCTCCTCAGATACGTCTCATCTTTGTTGTGATCAAACTGCCACTGTGCGTCCAGAACGTCGTGCATCGTCACCATGTGGTCCTAAAAAAACAACAACAACAAAAAAAAAAAAAGTGTGATGTCAGCAGTGACAGTGATGTCATTATGATGTCAGCAGCATTGAGACGCCACAGTCACTACTGATGATGTGAGGTGAGTCTCTGCTGCAGGTTTCTGTTCCAAAGTTTAATTGACAGACCTGCACCGACAGCAGGACTGAACTCAACACTTTGGATGACTCGTGAGGTCACGGCTGAACAGGAAGTGATGCTGACCTTCTCTCCCAGCACGCCGGACCGGACTCTCCTCAGCTCCTGCATCTGACCTCCGACCCCAAGCATCAGACCCAGGTGGACACACAGAGTCCGGATATATGTTCCGGCTTCACAGCTCACCCAGAAGATACCTGCAACACAGAGTCATGCGAGATTGGTGAAACCTAAACTAATGTTTAAGTCGCACAACACCACTAAAGACCCGTTTCTACCAAGCAGTTCAGGTCAGTACACGTTTCACTGTGAGAAGTTGTGGATGGTACCAATGGAACCGTTTCATACTGTCCCCATTTTGGGGTGAAACCCTAGGGTCTAGGTACCATGTCTGAAGGGTTACTGTTGGTAAGGTAGCATACTGAAAGTGTTTGATGGAAAAGGGGCTAAACAGGTTTTTAAAGTCACAAAGATAAAACTGTCCATCAGTCAGAGAACGCCTTGAAGTTTCTCGGGTAATTTATTATTGATCTATTATCAATCTTACCCAGTCTCCTCTCAGGATCATATTCGATCAGTTTGCTCTCGTAGACCGTTCGAACTCTCAACTGACGTTTAACAGCAGCAATCAGCGGCGGTCGCTGGAACAATGCGCCAGTCAGCGTCTCCAATGCCTGCAGACAGAAACTGAGTCAGTGACAGTCACATGACCCAACATCCAACACGTGATTTATTCCGATTATTTTCTCTAAACTGTACAGAACTATTAAATTTATCTGGTTTCTACATCAACATTCAAAATAAAGTAGCAGAGTTCAAGATTGAGCTCTGATCAACCTCAAAAATGTAACTGAGTAAAGTAATGAACTTTTTATTGTCATTATAAATCTTAACATATCGATCGATCGGCCGTGCAGCAGGAGGTTCTTACCCGGGCCAGAGTGTGTTCACTCTCTATCGCACTGTGCAGCCGAACGATCCCCACATACTCTTTACCTGCAACACACACACAGAGAGTAGTGAGGGGGGCCGCTGGGTTTTACTGTGCTCACACGCCTGCCGGCCGGGTGGAGTCAACCAGCATCAATAATTTAGTTTTTCTGTTACAACACAAAACAGGAAGTCGTCATCTTTGCATACCGGCACTCTGCTGGGACTTGACTAATCGTGTGGCTCGATCCACGCAGACGATGAGACAGCCGGTGACCTTAGGGTCTAGCGTTCCACTGTGGCCCGTCTTCTCCACCCGCAGGATCCTCCTGATCCACGCCACGACCTCGTGCGACGACGGGTTCGCCGGTTTGTCCAGGTTGATGAAGCCCGACCTGACAGGAAGCAGGAAGTACAGTCATCAATGTGTTGGAGCTCTCGGAAAAATGTTGGTAGCATGTTAGCACAGTATTTATCTGGAGATTAACAGATATGATCTTGGCTGTTAGCATAGCATAACCTGTCAATCAGGGATGTTGTTAGCATGTTAGCATAGTGTTGCCTAAAATAATCCCATGTGTTGTTAGCATGTTAGTATATCGTTAACTGACACAATCCTGGATTTTGTTAGCATAGCATTACCTAACATAATTCTGGCTGTTGTTAGCATAGCATTAGCTGACATAATCCTTAATGTTGTTCACACAGCATTGCCTAACCGATGATGATATTATTAGCATGCTAGCATAGCGTTTCCTGATATAATCCTAGGTATTGTTAGCATGTTAGCATAGAATTACCTGACATAATCCTGGATGTTTCTCTTCAGAGGGTTGCTGCCACTCGGTAGAGGAGTGTAATGAGCTGTCCGGATGTTCAGTTTATCAAAATTCTGCAGGAAACAAAATTATATTTGACATTAGACATCTTTGTTGGTTTGTTCACCTTCTTGTGATCCTTTATTACATATTATTTATTTCCTGTAAAAACCGATATAAATCTCAGCATTGTATGATCAGAGCAGCAAATCGTCTTGGCAGCGGTCACGTCGAGTCGCTCTCCGTGCGGTTTCGGGTTGCGTCCGGCAGAACACCGGGACAACACCAGCACTGCAGCAGAGAGGCCCCGCCCCCAGAACGGGAGCAGAGGCGATGACTGCAACAAGATGGCCGCTCAGAGAATGGATAAACTGGTTCATCACTTCACATGCTGAGAAACAAAAATCTCTATTATATTTGGCTAGTCTGATAACTGATGATATTCTGGGAAATTAAAGATCGATTTCGTTTTCATAAGTGCAATATCCAGTACGTGTCCACACTAACTGTACCAGGTAAACTCAGGTGTGTTACCTTTAGTAACAGAGGCCATTGAGACGTGTCCAGAGAGGCGACTTTAGACTCTGGCTGGATGAAGAAGTCTCCTCTCTGTTGGATCTCCTGTCAAACAAAAACAAACTGTTTTAGTTTCATTCAGATAAATATAATAAACTGAACACTAACAGGATGAACTTCATCTCACTCACCCCGACTTCTTCTTCACTGACTTTCTTCGCCTTCTTCTTCTTCTTCGCTGACGATACTGAAAACAAACACACATGTGGAAATAGTTTCTTTAATTATCAAACACCATGATTTTAAGTCATTTATTTCTTTTCAGAGAATCAGTTTCCCCACCAAGTAGCTTCTCACACACAAGAAATTTACTTCAGAGTTGTGGTGCGCATTATAAACATATTACATGTCTTGTATTTAAATAAATGTTATTTTAAAAAGACTCTTTGTTCAACTTCATGTTCAGCACTTTGGTTACATCCTAAAGTATGATTTTTGCTTTATAAAGTGATTAATAAACCTAATGAAAATAAGTACTGTAAAACTCAGACAAATACCAAAAAACGATAAAATACATTTCTTTAAAAAAAAAGTTTCCTTTAAATTTAAAAACAATCTATGTCCTGCTGCACAGCTCTCACATTTAAGTATTTATGAGGTTGATTAAATATAATCAAAATATCTTTACCATTTCAACATGTGTTTAGATTTTATGAACTTTTATATTTTAGTTTCTGTCTCTTGTTAGATCTTAAAGGTTTAGGGAGGGTACATTATTTATTAGAGGTGAGGAGGTGGTGCAAAAGGGGGGTGGCATGTCAAATATTTTTTAGGCTGTGGGGAGGGACTTAAATTTATTAGTTTTGGCTTTGGGGAGGGGTGTTGAACTTTAAAATGGCCGAATTTTATATTTCTGTTACTGCCCATTTTTAGAGACAATGTGCCTTCATGCATATTTTCTTTAAAAATTACCAAAATTGCACCATTAATCACAGCCAGAAACTAATGTTGTTTACATCGCCCGAGTTTGAACATCAAAAAATTTTCCGTGGACTTGCTTCGCTAATGTTCAGATTTTTCAAGTCTCACTAATAAGAGCATGATGCAAAATTGTGCAACTCACTTCATTTACGCCACTTAATTTGCACCATTTTTGACACTGACACCATGTTGCCCGGTAGGAACTGGCGTCTAATTGTGCCTTTACATTTAATTCACTTGCGTAAATTGTTTTATTCCTGTCCAGTGTGAACACAACATCAAAACTGAAATCATGATTGGATTTTCACATATGTCACTGAACACTTAACCTGCGATCAACACGTCAGTCAGGAAAAAAAAAAGTAAAAATCAGAGCTTCAACTAATGATATTTCATTTTAAATTTGGCCCAAAATAAACTGTTTGCACAAACAAACCAGCATGCACAACAACTTTTTTCAACTCTAGGATTTCATCTTCAACTTCTAACATTCAAACATGGCAGGGTTAGTTTATAAAAAGGCAACTAATTTATAGTGGAGGAAAGGTCATGACCTTCCCCTGTTAAGTTAAGAACAGTCCCTTCGTTTAAATTATAAATGGAGGTTGAGAAGCAGCCCACGTGGCCTCTCAGACAGCACGTGGTAGAGTTAGCATCAGGCGGCTAACAGAGCTAACGGACCCTCTGAACTGAGAAACACCATCAACATGTCACACACACACATACAGGGAGAAGACCACCTGTGATCGGTACAGGAAACTGACCAGGTTTTAATCATCAATAACACGAGTTAGTGTTTCCTGTAAACTGACTGAATACACACTAACGTTTATAGACACTTCACGGTTAAACCTCTATGAATGTATCTGAATATTGAGGTGATATAAACTCAGAATCTGCCTGAGACCAGCGCTGAATCTGAGCCGCCACACGTGGGTGCAGCCCGGAGCCTGAGCACAGGCCTCCACCTCCCAAAGCTCCTACAGTTCCCACAGTGCTGCTCCATGGTTCATGAAACACGCGCCGAACTTACAAACTGGATTTAACACACCAAAGTGTAACATAAAATTAACACTGTGCAAAATTAAAAATACATGTCTTTAAATGACTTTAGTTTCTCTGTGCAGTTTGGCGTCAAACGCAGACAAAATGCGTCAGTGTCAGTTCGTAAAACCAAACAGTAACCGCCTGTGTTTGTGCAGTTTAACCAACTTTAGTTTAACGTCAAGATTTAAGAGTAAAAACTCAAATTAGTTAAAGTTCACGTGTTTTTACAGAGACGTGGAGCGCACTCACCTTCTGTGTCCGCCATCTTCACTAAGAGACTGAGCGCAGAGACCGCGGAAGCTCCTCCCCCTTCTTAATCTTCTTCTTCTTCGTTGAATTTTACGGCAGCTATCAGCCTGAGTATAGCACTACTGCCATCTCCTGGAGTCATTTAACTCCCACAGCGTCCTCTTCGTCAGTCTTGTTGTTAGCAGGAAGTTGACTAGGCATCTCATAACTATATACACACCGGCCACTTTATTAGGTACACCTGTTCCACTGCTCCTTTACGGAAATAGCTAATCAGCTAATCACGTGGCAGCAACTCAATGCATTTAGGCTCGTAGGCATGGTGAAGACGAGCTGCTGAAGTTCAAACTGAGCATCAGAATGATGAAGAAAGGTGATTGAAGTGACTTTGAACGTGGCATGGTTGTTGGTGCCAGACGGGCTGGTCTGAGTATTTACTGGGATTTTCAGCACAACCATCTCTAGGGTTTACAGAGGATGGTCCCAAAAAGAGCAAATATCCAGTGAGCCAAAATGCCTTGTTGATGCCAGAGGTCAGAGGAGAATGGCCAGACTGGTTCAAGATGATAGAAAGGCAACAGGAAGTCAAATAAGCACTGGTTCCAACCAAGGTGTGCAGAAGAGCATCTCTGAAGCAACAACACCTTGTCCAACCTTGAAGCAGATGGGCTACAGCAGCAGAAGACCACACCAGGTGCCACTCCTGTCAGCTAACAACAGGAAACTGAGGCTACAATTCACACGGGTTTTCTCACCAAAACTGGACAATAGAAGATTGGAAAAACCACATTCAGATGGAAGCATGGATCCATCCTGCCTTGTATCAACGCTTCAGGCTGCTGCTGGTGGTGTAATGGTGTGGGGGAGATTTTCTTAGTACCAACTGAGCATGGTTTAAACACCACAGCCTACCTGAGTATTGTTGCTGAGCGTGTCCATCCCTTTATGACCACAGTGTACCCATCTTCTGATGGCTACTTCCAGCAGGATAACGCACCATGTCACAAAGCTCACATCATCTCAAACATGACAATGAGTTCACTGTACTCCAATGGCCTCCACAGTCACCAGATCTCAGTCCAATAGAGCACCTTTGGGATGTGCTGGAACGGGAGATTCTCATCATGGATGTGCAGCCGACAAATCTGCAGCAACTGTGTGATGTCATCATGTCAATATGGACCAAAATCTCTGAGGAATGTTTCCAGCACCTTAAAAAGAGGGTCCTACCTGGTACTAGCAAGGTGTACCTAATAAAGTGGCCTGTGAGTGTATCTATCAAGACAAATAGCACTACTGGTAAGAGGTAAAACATGAAATTTTGATTTTGGGCTGAACTCTCCCTTAAATTTTAGCATGTACTTGGTTTGTGACCCCTCAAAATAGAGTAATGTGTTCTTAAAAATTATTTGTATAACAAAAATATCAAGATCAACTTATTGTTCTGGTGTCTGTGTTGTGGAGCAACAGTTTTTTCCATCAGGCCCCAGTTTGATACTAGAGTAATGGTAAAATGAGCATACAGACAGATTTTATTAATTGATTTGCTGACAGAAAAAGTTACCAAACCTACAAGCTTCTAAACAAAACTAACCACCACAGAAGAATACAGTATATAACTTTAGGAAAATACAAAAGTATTAAGATAGTTACATGGAGGCAGGAAATACAGCTTTGACCAACAGTGTCATCTGTAGCTTCAGTGGAATACTTCATATATAAAAGTCAATCATGTAAAAATTTGAGTAAATCCACAATTATACCCTGATTTTATGATGATGAATACATTCAAAAGTAGCAAGTACATCCCATAAAGTAGCTACAAAGTTCCATACAACAAGCTGTACTTCAAGTATAGTTCAAAAGTGTTCAAATAACGGAAACAGAAGAATCTAAACAGTCAAGTTTGTATTGTACAGTTGATTGGAGGCTAATTAATATTAGGAAGTAAAATCAAAACAAATCATACATATATTCTATATACCCCAAAGTCCCAAACAAATATTCATATACACACACAGGTGTTTATAGCTCAGTTTTATATTTGTCAATCATCATATTTTTTAATTTCTTTTAAGTGTTTTACACATTTTCAATTTCTTTTCAAGACTATTCCACAAATCAGCTCCTTTGACTGTTAAACATATTTGTTTTTTATTTCTTCTAATCTCTTGTCACAGTCTGGAAGCATCTTTAGGTACATATTTTGTCTCCTCATTTTTGTGCAAATAAAGCAAATGCTCTGCATATTCATATAAATAAACAATTTTAAACCTAATAAATAGTATCAAATATTTAAATATGAGCATAAATATGTGGAAACAGCGTCTAATCAGTGCAATTCTACCTCTTTGATGCTACAGACAAAGCAAATGGAAGATTGTAAAAACCTGTCAGTCATTTTGTAACTGAATGACAGACAAAAAAAGTTTTCCCCTTCAAAACGTTTAAATGCTTTGTTTTTTCTTTCAAGTATCAGAGCTCAACAACAACAACAAAAAAATCTTCCTTTTAATAAAATATGTATCCCGGGTTCAGACTACAGGTTATCAGCCCGATTACAGCCCAATATGGGTTGGGGGTGTGTGGGCGCCTGTTGTTTATGACGGAGTGAGCGGGAGTGTGTGACGGTGGACGAATTGTTTGGAAGGAGAGGTTTGGTGGTTGTGCATAAACTGATCTGTGACTGTGATATATAATGTAAGAGCATATGTCCCGCCTCCTTTGAGGTGTTTCAAATGCCAGAAATATGGACACATTGCAGCAGGGTGCAAAGGTAAACAAAAGTGTGGAAAGTGTGGAGGGGATCATGAATACGGGAAATGCGAGGTTGGGGCACAGCCTAAATGTGTTAATTTTGGAGGTGCTCATAGTGTGGCCTGTGGGGGTTGTGAAGAGAGAAAGAAGGCAGTGGAAGTGCAGAAGCTAAGAGTGAACAATGGTCTATTTTTTGCAGAAGCAGTGAAACAATAGAAACAATAGAGAAGGAAAAGTCAACCGAACGAACTGTGAGAAAGAGTCAGATGGAAGATGAAAATATATTGCTGGTAAATAAGGAGAATTTTGTGTATTTCATGGCTGAAGTAATTAATTGCACATTCCAAGCAAAAGGGAGATCTGAGAAGATTGAGATAATCGTAAAGAGTGCAGCAAGATATTTAAATATTCATGGAGTATCTGGGTTGGATGTTCAAGAAGTGCTTAAAAGACAGGGACAGTTGGAAAAAGAACTATGTTCACCGGATTAGTATTAATCATGTTACTTCTTTAGTGGAATGCAAGAAGTCTGCTGTCGAATGGCCAAGAATTTAAAGGATTTCTTAAGGATTTAGAAAGTAAACCAGATATAATATGTGTGGAAGAGACATGGCTGAAACCTAATTTAGATTTTGTGATTCCAGGATATGTGTGCATAAGAAAGGATAGAGTAGAGAGTAATTGGCAAGGATGTGCTACGTTTATTAGGCAAGGTGTTTCGTACAGAGAACTAGAAAAAGGGAAAGAACTGGAGCATGTAGTGGTTGAGGTTTGGATAGGAGATGGAAGTTTGGTAATTGTGAATTTCTACAATCCTTGTCAGAGGATGGAATTGGAAACACTGGAGGCAATAAAGGGAGTAGATAAGAGGAGGGTCGTTTGGTGTGGTGACTTCAATGCCCACAGTTCTCTTTGGGGAGGGGACAGAACTGATAGGAATGGTTTGATAGTGGAGGATTTGATGGGAGTTGATTGTAGTACAGGAAAAGAGTCCAGTTTAGACTTATCTCAATCCTTTGCAGGTATTTGTTTGTGTGAGTTAATGAGTCAGACAATAGTTGGAAGTGATCATTACCCAATTTTGTGTAAAATAGGTAATGAAAGCAGGCTGGGCATAGAAGATTCATTAGAAAGATGGATGTTTGGAAAGGCCCAGTGGGATAAATTCAGAGAGATAAGTGAATCAAGTTTCAGGAATACAGATAGAGAACAGGATATGGTAATATTGAATGAAAGTGTAAGAGATGCTATAAGTGGGGCTGCCAAGCAGACAATTGTAATCAGAGATGAAATCATCCGACAATAAATACAACTGAGCCATGCTGGGAACATGGGAAAAAGCAAACAAAAAGCTTTGGATGGATTGTTGAGAGGAGAGCCAGGGAGATGGAAATACTGGATTTGAGTTTTTTGCCAACTGCTCTTGGATTGGGAAAGCTAATGAATCAACTAGATCAACTAGATTAATGAATAGAATATAAGGCTATATATATTATTATTATTATAATATAATTATTATTTTGATGTTAAGTGAATTTTGTTTGTTTTGTTTTGTTTGTTTTGACTGTTTTGTTTCTTTTGTTTGTTTTGTTTGACATACATAAATATGAATACATTTGAGATAATCTAGATACCTAGTCCACACTCCAGTTACCAGCTCAGTGGCCTTGTGGTAGAGTGTCCGCCCTGAGACTGGGAGGTCGTGGGTTCGATCCCCGGCCGGGTCATACCAAAGACTATAAAAATGGGACCCATTGCCTCCCTGCTTGGCACTCAGCATCAGGGGTTGGAATTGGGGGGTTAGATCACCACATGATTCCCGAGCGCGGCACCGCTGCTGCTCACCGCTCCCTCAGGGGATGGGTCAAATGCGGAGAACAAATTTCACACATTCAGGTGTGTGACAATCAGTGGAACTTTACCTTTACCTTTAC